GTGTGTGTGCACGTGCGTACGCACATGCCTGTGTGTGTGTGCACGTGCGTACGCACATGCCTCTCTGTGTGTGCGTGTGTGTGCATGTGCGTACGCACATGCCTGGATGTGTGTGTGTGTCCGACCTTGGGAGCTGGGGTGGGACCAGGGCGTGGGGGTGAGTTCTCAGAGGTGTCCTCTGGTCAGCTCAGGGCAAAGCTCTCCCTGGCGGTTTAATTTCCCTTTGCTCCTTCTTAGCAGGAGCCTCTTGTTGGGCCTCTGGCTCTTGGCTGAAGTGTGTCAGCTGTGAGGCCCGAGGGCCTCCAGGCCCAGGCATAACCTGTCCCTCTCGGTCCCAGGCTCGGCACGCCACCTATGGCATTCGTAAGTGCTTCCTCTTCCTGCTGCAGTGCCAGCTGATGCTCGTGGTCATCCAGGTGTGTGGCCCAGGCCCAGGGCGTGCTCCCTCCCCGCTTGCTGTCAAGGGCCAGTTCAGAGTCTGGGAGGGAGGCAGCACAGCCAGGGGACTCCTGGGGCTTCTGTGAAACCAGCTGGTCCCAGAATGTCGTGTGCTCCAGCTCCTCTCAGCCAGAACAGGGCAAGGCCTGCTGGGGCTCCCAGGGCCCATTTCCCCAAATCGAACTCTGGTTCTGGTTCTTTCCTGGTCTAGTTTCTGGCTTGCCTGGTCCAGCTGCCCCCTATTCTGAGCACCACTGACATCCTGTGGCTGTCCTGCTTTTGTTACCCTCTGCTCAGGTGAGAACCCACACAGCCCTGCCAAGCGGGGCAGGTCCACGTCCTCTGCAGCAGATGATGGGGAAAATGCTCCTCCCATCCCCTCACCAGCCTTCCCAAGGCACCCCTCCCCCCTCCTTTAGGGAATTGGGACAGCAACCCTTCTCCCACCCTCTGCTTTTCAGTATCTCTCTGCTAGGGAAACCGCCCCATAGTTCCATCATGTCTGTGGCAACAGGGAAGAACCTGCACTCCATTCCTAAGAAGGTGAGCACGGGCCCTGTGAACCTGGAGGACGGTAAGGTGTGCTCGGAGGGCACTGGGTTGGGAGGCGAGGGGAGAAGGCCTAACGTGGAACTTTCTAGATGACTCTTCTGTACCGGGAAGCTGGTCATCTGGCTCCTGGTCCTCTCCAGATCAGAGTGGGGGTGTCACAGAGCTGAGCAGTATCCTTGTCCCTGGGCCTGGCTGTGCTTACCAGCAGGACACTGACTGTGCTGAAGCTGCTGGACTCGAACTCGGGACCGAGGCCACCTCCTGAGTTTGGGGCCTTCTTCCTGCAGACCCAGCACTACTTCCTGCTCTGCTTCTTGCTCAAGTTCAGCCTCACCATCACCTCCTGCCTCATCTGCTTTGGCTTCACACTGCAGAGCTTCTGTGACAGCTCGCGGACACGCAACCTTACCAACTGCTCCTCCATCATGCTGCCCAGGTGAGCGTGCCCTCCGGGGGGGTCCTCCTGCCACGCCGCCCTCCTCCCCGGGGCCTGCAGGGGCCTCATGCCGTGTCTGATTTGGCAGCAACGTGGACACGGCTCCCAGCTGGCTCCAGGACTTCGCCAATGGGTTGCTGCTGGCCCAGAAGCTGGCTGCCGCCCTAATCGTGCTGCACACTGGTGAGGGACTGGGCAGGGCCCCCGGGGAGCGACTGTGAGGGCCACTCGGCTTCATTTTCTCAGCAGGGACGAAGCCTGGGGGGTAGCCCTGGGTGGGTGGAAACCCAGACCACTGAGCTGGTCCTTTTCTGCAGTGTTCATTTCTATCACTCACGTGCATCGCACCAAGCCCTTGTGGAGGAAGAGCCCCTTGGCCAACGTCTGGTGGGCTGTCACAGTACCCGTGGTGTGAGTATCGGGGGGAAGGGCACGCTGCTGAGCCCTCCTGGAGCTGTGTGTGCCCAGGATAGCAGGGGAGGAAGCAGAGCTACTCGGGGTTCACGGGTGCTGCTCGGCTCCTGCAGGCTGCTGGGCCAGGTGGTCCAGACGGCGGTGGACCTGCAGCTGTGGACATACAGGGACAGCCGTGTCCACTTTGGCCTGGAAGACGTGCCTCTGCTGACGTGGCTCCTGGGCTGTCTCTCCCTCATCTTCGTGGTGGTCGCCAACGAGGTTGTGAAGCTGCACGAGATCCGGTGAGGGGCCAAGCCAGGCTTCTCCGGGTCACCCCCCTGGAGGCATCCCCCAACCGCCCGGCCCCTGCTCTGAGGGCCTATGCTAACCAGCTTCAACTTGTGTCCCCAGGGTCCGGGTCCGCTACCAGAAGCGACAAAAGCTGCAGTTTGAAACAAAACTGGGCATGAACTCACCCTTCTGAGCCACTGGCCATGATGGTCAGCGTTGCCCCAACTTGGCCTGAGCCAGCTAGCTGTTCCTGAGTCTGGGGAGTTGGTATCATGAATGTTTCTGGGTTTGCTCCTGGACCCCTTAAGCCAACCAGATGACGTCAGGGACTTGGGGCCCAGATTCTGGCTCAGACTTGCTGTCTTCCAGATCCTGGCCTTTCCGTGAAGAAGTCTTGGAGCCATGGCCTCGGGTGCTCAGGGCTGGCCTGGCATCTTCTGTGGGATTTGCCGGGGGGCTACTCTTGAATGTATGGCCTCGCGTGCTGAGTAGTGGGCTTCCACCCCGCACCTGCAGGCTGCCCCCTTCAAGGTCCCTTTAGTGCAGTAGCCTTTGCTCCCGGGTCATCAGGTGCAGCCTTGAACGACAGCAGCAGGAGACACACACTCTTCAGGCAGTCTGGGCCGCTGAAGGCAGGGCTTCTGTACTGCCCCGCACTGCGTCCGGGCTCCTTGCCTGGGCATGGCCTGTCTGTGTGTGACCAGGGTGCTTCACTCCGACATGAGGGTGGAGCAGAGCCCTCTGGCCATGCTGCCCTCCAGCCACCGTTTACGTCATCCTGGGGCTGCCAGGTCCCTTCTGTACCCCGCCCTTGTTCTCTTCTGTGAGAATGTTCTTACTGGTGTGTATTTTCTACTGGAAATGAGCCTTTTAGGTATGAATGTAGATGGTTTGTATTAAAACTTGTACATTGCTTAAAAAAAAAGCCTGTGGCTGGTGCATGCGGGGGGCGCCTGCCACCTCCTTCCACCTCAGCTGGGCCCTGGTCAGGCTCAGGCGTGACCCTGGGCTCAAGGTCTGTGGTACAGAAGCAAACACAGCCAGTCACGTGGAATGACACTTTCATTGGTGTTAGTTGAGGGGAGAGGTTAATGGTTACAGAGCTGGGGCGGGGCCAAGCAAATCTGGCCTCAAGCCACAAAGAGGTCGAGGACTCTCACTGTCGTCCCCCCACTGCGTTCTCTCAGGCAGTTAATAGATAGAATAAATTCCATTTAAAATATATGCATTTCTCTCTGCTTAAAAAATAACATTTACACTTGAAAAGCATGGGCTTTTGCTACTGGGATCTGCAAATCCCACTGCCTCTCACCCCAAAGGCTGGCCATCAGCGAGGGCAGGTGGGGCAGGGGACAATTGGCATGGCTGTGGCCATCGCAGGCCACCCCACCAACCCCTGGGCTCTTACTTGCCATCCTGCACCTGCAGGGAGATGCTTGGCAGAACTCAGGGCTGAGGCTGGGCACGTACACAGCCATCTCCAGCCTATCTGAGTGTAGCTGGGGTCACATGGCAGGAGACAAGTAGCCTGGGATCTAGGGGGTTGGGTAGGGCCCCCAGGAGCCTCGCCTCACGCCTCTCCTGGGAAGCAATCTCTTCTCAGGACCGTGGGGATTACACACGAGCTGGGGCCGTGTTTGCAGACATGTCGCTGAGCCCTCACTGGTCAGATTCTGGCAAGTTCCTCTGCCCCTGTGGCCGGGCTGCCCCGTCAGAGCTCCAGGCCACTGGCTCGGCAGAGCAGGCATGGGTCCTGCTGGGGAGGGACTCCAGTCCTGGTTAGCCTGCCATCTGTCTTTTAGTGGCAGGAGTTCCTTCCAGACAGGGACCAAAGCTGTGGACACCACAGTTGATGGTGGGATCAGCTCAGTCCAGCATGGCATCCAGCTGGTCGGCCAGGGCATCGAACATGGTGCTGATGTCGTCCAGGATGTGCCTGGTGGAAAGCCCGGGGGGCCTGACGGAGGGAAGGAGCCTGCTCAGGTGTGGCCACCGCCCCGCGTCTCTGAGGCCCGACCCTAATCCCTCCCGGGCAGACAAGCTCAGCCCAGACTTGGCGCCTCTAAGTGGCTATCCCTAGGCCTCTCAGCGGGTCAGCTCTACTGCTTCAGAGCCTGGGGTTCTTGTTTGCGCAGTGGGGCTAGTCCTCCCTGAGGCTCTGCCACAGCCCCCCCTCAACATTCCGGAGCCGCAGGGACCCAGGAAGGCTGCTCGCTCTCCCCACCTGGACTCGTTCCCCTCACCCTGCTTGCTCCTCGACGCCGATGCTCTTCTCTGCAGCCCTCAGCGCGGCGGCCAGGGACGAGCTGGTCTGCTCCAGCCTCTGCTGGGCCCGGCCTGCGCCTGCTGCCCCAGTGCTCTCAGGCCTCGGAGGGGGCACTGGACGGGGGCCGAGCCGAGGAGCCAGCTTCGGACCAGAGAATGCCAGCTGGGTGCAGGCCACGGACACAGGCTTCGGGGCTGTTCCTGCAGAGACAGGGATGGCTTGTGACTCCAGCAGGCTGGACACAGCCCGGCAAACAGCACGTCCACCTCCCAACACACAGGCCTCTGCCCTGCTTCATACCTGCTCCGGGCACTTTGATGAGGGCTGCAGGGGCAACTGGGGGCTCCGTCTCCCCATTCCGGAGGCTGCCCACTACATTGTCCAGAGCTGGCCCAGGGCAGGAGGGTACTGGGGGGACCATGGTCACAGGGCTAGGAGACCGGGGGGCTGGCGCTCCCGGGGCCGCACAGGTGCTAGGGTCTGTGGTGGAGGAGGGTGACGCTGAGGTGGAGGCCTCGCTGGAGCTGACCACCCCGAAGGCCAGCAGCGCCGTCTGCAGTGGCTCTCTTTCCCTGCACCTGGGCCTCCGCTTAACAGTGTCTGACTCCGTGAGGTTGAAATCGAGGCCAGGGGGCACGGGTGTCTCCCGGGCTGAGGGTCCCGCTGGCTTTGGCCGCTGTTTGATGGTCAGGTTGCCCTCCTCTGCAAACGGCAGCCCTTCCCCTGAGCTGCCCCGAGATGGGGGTGTCCCCTCAGGCCCCTGATCCTCCTCCTCCGTGTCCGACGCCGGGCCTGCGGGGGCTGCTGGGCTTGGAGGCTCCACTGGGCCAGCTGGTTCACTCAGAGTTCGTCTTCGGGGCCCCACAGCCCCCTCCTTGGGCCCAGGGCTCCCGTCCAGTGAAGACGGCTCAGGGGTGGGGCCAGAGACGGAGCTGAGGCGCTTGGGGGGTGGGGGCGGGGGTCCTTTGCGGCGTGCGCGGAGGGCGAAGGACTGGCTGCGAGGAGCCCCCCGAGTCGGGGTGGGACTGGGAGTGGTCCGGGCAAGGGTGCTGCGGCCTGGTCGCCGGGTGAGGGTGGCATAGCTGCCCAAGGCACTGCCTGCTGGCCCCTCGGCCTCCCCCTCTGCCTCCCCTTCAGTTGGCCCAGGCCGGCTGAGGCTGTGAGACCTGCGCTTGGGCCGGGGTGGGTCTGGGGGTGTGGCAGGGGAACCAGCCAGGTAGGAGAAGGCCCGGGGTGCCCCAGGAGGTGGCCCTGGAGGTGGGCTGGAGGGCGAACCCTGGGGGTACATAAAGACATATGGGGGTGGCGCTTGGCCAGCAAGTGGGGTACAGAGCTTAGGGGGCCGCTCTGTGCCTTCAGGAAGGTTCCTCTCTTGTGAGGTATTGGGGTCCCCACCACCAGGCTGGGGGCCTGGGTGTTCCTGTGAGTGACCAGAGCCCCGTGAGCGTGCCCCGATGCTCTCCTGGCTGGGGGAGCGGGTTGGTGGCAGGGGCAGTGGTTCAGGCCCGCCACCCGCCATGGCAGCCTGCAGCTCTGCACTCAGCTCGCTGCCCTGGAAGGTGAGGAGGCGCGGGCCAGCAGCGGCCGGACCGTCTCCATTCTCTAGACCCTCAATAGCCATCAGCTCTGGTCCCCGCGTCAGCCGGCGGCCGCCTTCACCAGGGGTCTCCCCCTGCAGCAGGCCCCGGCGGAGCTCTGCCAGCCGCTTCACGCCCAGCATGAGCTTCTTCTGATGCCCTGTAAAGGGAGAGAGGGCAGGGTCAGCGGGGGCTGGGATGCCATCCACGCCTTCCCTCTCTTCTCAGCTTGGGGACTCCTGGTGAGATGTAAGGTCCAGGTCTTCAGGGGAGTCCTCACCGAGCTTGTTGACGCCGACCTCCTGCAGCTCCTCCCAGGTGAGGTCGGCGACCAGCCCCATGGAGTCGTAGCCGCTGCTCACCAGCTGCTTGTGGTACTGGGGCAGCCCCAGAGCACACAGCCACTCCAACAAGTCCGCCTAGAAAGGGGCGTCCAGCATCAGCTGGGTCCCTGGGCCTCAGCCGTAAGTGGAGGAGACCTTAAACCCCCAGCACCCACAGCCACAGGTGGACGGCAGCCCGAACCCCCAACACCCACAGCTGGATGGGATCCCAAACCTGCAGCACCCACAGCCACAGGCAGATGGTACCCTGAACCCCCAGCGCACATAGCCACAGGGAGAAGGGAGCCTGAACTCCCAGCACCCATAGGCACAGGCGGACGGGAGCCCGAACCCCCAACACCCACAGCCACTGCTG